TAGTGTTTTGTGTCTGATTCATCCCTGTGCCTAATTAGGGAAGAAGCAGGGAAACTTCCAAATTTGTCTATGGACATCTTAATTGGATATAGCAGTTTCTTTCTTTACTTTTTTTTTCCCTATTTTGTAGAGCTGCATTTTATGAAAATGACAGGATTTTCCCTATCTGACTAACATTGCTGCTTCTCAGCATTTTCACCTACCTTTGACAGCATAGGAAGACAGCAGTGATGGCAGCAGCATCAGCACAGGTGTCACTGCTGAATGCAAGGCTGTGTGTAAGTATTACGTAAGCAGCAGCCTCAGCACTGCAAGCTTTTGGAGGAAGACTTTATTTATTTTTATTTTTTTGGTCAACATAAGAAAAGCAAGTACAACACCTTTAAACACTGCATGTCTATGCCCAGCCGGCTAGCTTCCAACTAGTAGTAGCTGTAGCTAATAAGTTCCTTTTCCCAGTAAGATATAGTAGCTCAAGCATACGTTACACTGGCATGGCCGCGTTCCTTCTCCTTCTCATGCTAATGTAGTCCTTGCTATTTGGGCATCTCTGTGCTGAAGATAACATCCTTAATGTTTTCAACTACACTCTCATGACATTTTCACCTATCACTTGGGCTTAGATGCTGAAACCATTGAGAGTCCGGTCATTTCTAGCAGCAGGGGGAATGAGCTATTAATGCCAGCACTGGCACAGAAACAAATGGGTTTCTGTTAGGCATGAATAAATTTGGGCTGGAAAGTAGAAGGATTTACTTAGTGATTCTAACAATCAGCTTCTGGAACAGCCTTCCAGTAGTTGTTGGAGGGCAAAACCACTAACTACTGCAATGTATAAGAGGAGCTGTGGAATGGAACAGCCCGTGGCAGCTGGGGTCTGGACTTGATGACTCCAGAGATCCCCTGCAGACCTTTTCTCCCCTGGATGTATGCAAGTGGGTCATGAAAGGAGTGGTAATGTCTCCCTCTCCTTTGCAAAATTGCACTGGAATAGCTACAATATGGCTTTTTAGAACCTGCCACTTGGAAGTGTTTGATCAGCTGTGGCAAATTCTGGGGATGTGAACTCCATGTATTTAATTTGAAGAAAATATAAATCAAAGTACCTATTCAAGTTACATTTCCTCTGCCATCCCGTCTTACTTTCTTGACACTGTTTTTACAATTTAACTCGCAACAGTGAAACAAGCTAGCAAGGAGCAGGCTGATGTCATAGCCACAGTTAGAAGTGCTTGCTTATTAGAAGACCAGCATTACTCTTTTTTCTGCTGGTAGCATATGTTTTACTTGCTAAATATATCCGTATCAGAACAGCGAACAAATGTGTTCTCCGTAGGCTCATTGACCAGCATGTTTCTGCTACTGCTTTGTCTCTTATTAATAAATTGGAAAATGTGGCGAATAATTGCACCATTTTGTATCAGAATATTTCCATTGATGGCAAAAACACCTCACTGCAATATCCTGTCTACAATGACTTACATGCAGTTGTTCAAACACTGCTGAGGGATCCTCCTAGACAACCTGTAAAATCTTTTGGCTGTGAATGCTTAGTTAATTATACAAGGGTACACAGTGAGTTAATTCTGAAATTATTCTGGTGTGGTATTCAAAATAAATTCCTCCTGCAGTCAGTAGATTACTGAGGCCAAGTTTCACCTGGATACAAATTGAACTGCAATTAATAGAACCTCTGACTCATTTACTATTAGCAGCTGTGTTCCCTTCCCTTCTTTGCTGAATGTTAGTAAGGTATATTCTTTTGATCATCTTGTTTTCTTCACCTGACCTTACATGAACATTTCATAATGTTGATGAGAGGGAGCTGGCAAGTATATCCTAATTACTGTGTATATTCTAACCTGGAGTGCTGGAACATATGGTACTCTGAAAAGAATTCATTTGTGTAGAATCACTGGTTAGAGGAGTAGTTCATGATGATGTGCACACAGATCTTGGTAAATTAGTGGCAGTTCTGGTGGAAAAATGGCAATTTTACTGTATTCTATTTTATAGTATTATTGTGTTTAAAATCATGTGCCCAATACTGTACATTGTTCCATTGTTCTATGTGGAGGGAAAAACTGGTTTTAAAGCTCTGTTGAACTATGAACTACATAACAGGAGAAAGCACTTCCTCTGAAGAGTATATGAGGTTGAAATAAAGAAGATGGAAAGGCAAAGAACAATAGAAGCCCAGTTCTGTTAGATCTATGGTTTGGAAAACAATGCTTGCTTCGTAAGAATCTAGAGCTAGTGCTCTGTTTCCTGAATATATCTGATGTGTATGTCACATTACTGCAAGATTTATGCTCCACCTCCCTCACCCCTGGTTGCTAAAAGGTATTTAAAGAAGCTAAAGGAAGCAGAATAAATGAAAACTACTTATTTTTCATTGCAATTACCAGGTTTCTTTTAAGTATAAATTATCCATACTTACAGTGCATAGGATATAAAGTAAGGAAATATGAGTGGCATGAAGTTTCAGTCCAGCTTTGTCTTAGCTGTTAACCCCTGCTGAGAAACTGAGAATAGCCACCACCTTCTTTTGCATGCAAATTACAGATTGTGTGGATTAGTTATGTGCCAGCTAATGAGGTGCTATTGTTACTCAGTGTACCCTGTGTAATTACTGCTTTTTAGACCTGCAGTGTGCTTGGTAGCCCTCCCAGAGCTGTTCTATTTCTTTTGTTATTTACAGCATTGTCTGTGTTATTGGTATTGCAAATCAAATGGAAATTTCTCTAATGGGTCTGTCATTTTGTCTTGTGTCTGTAGAGCACAGAGCACAGCGGGACCTTGGCCTACGGCTGAGCCTGCTAGTGCTACAGCAATATGAATAAATCATAATCGTACTTGCCTACTGCACTCTTTGAGAGCAGAGCTCAGCAATGGCTGCTGCTACTCTACTGTTTGTGCTGCCTGTTTCCTATGGCATTATATCCTTCATCTCCTATGGCATTATATCCTTCATCACCCAGGGCCACTCTTGAGCTGCCCAGTTGGTATCATCTGTTATTACCAAAGTAACTATGCTAGTCTTTCTATGCTTAACCTTCTGTTAAACTGCATGTTTGATATTGCGGTTTCCTCTTCTGTAATTATCATCACTATTGTAAACTTGGTAGCCAGTGCTCTTATGGCATCCTTGCAAAGACCTTCTGATAAATTAGTCATCCATGTTTACATCTCCTGAACTTGTCTCCTTCCTGTTCCATCTGCAACAGAAATAGTCTTCTTTCTATTAAAGCAGTAAACTGTTTGCCTCTGTGAGGAATATCCAGGAATATCCCCCCTGCTTGTTTGTTACAGGACCTAACTGAATTCTTGAAATAAGTGTTAAATAAGGCATTACTGTTGAAATCCATATATTTTTTATTTCCTGGTAAGGCACAGTCTTATTGTGCTCATTTGGCGAGTTCAATTTTGTGCCATGGTAAGGAGCAAGTTGTTTAAAAATGTATCCAACATAGAGACTTTCCCAAGCCAAGTGATATGCTAACCTTATTCTCTTTTCAGGTGGTATCAGAAAAGGCATCTTATCATTTTGGAAGGTTGTATCTTTGCCACTGGGTTAGCAGAGCCTGGACTAACATTTCCCAGCTGGCTGTTACTATGAACAAGCAAGATTACAATCAGCAGTTTTGCATCTGAAGCCTCTTTGATTTGAATTGTAGCATTACAAAGTTTCATCCCATACGCTCACTGACCCCCATCCTGTCAAGGGAGGGATGAATTTAAAAGCTCTAGGCAATCATCTGGAGATGTGGTGTAAAATCTATTTGTCACCCAGATTGAAAGTAGTATATACCTTGCACAGTGCGCATGTGCTCCCCAGCCATTCTTGAAGCCCCGGCTATCAGCCATTTCCTGTGTGCCTCCCACTTAGATGTTTCAATTTCATTTGGTACAGATGCTGCTACAGTAATCCACACTTTTGGTATTTTGTTTTCAGACATCTGCAGTGCAGTCTATCTGCGATTATTTAATGGCGTTTCTCAAAGATGAAAGCAGGTTTAAAAAAACACAACAAAACCAGCTGTCATTCCTGGTGGGGAATTTCATCTTGAGCTGATTGTGCTCTGTGAACTGCACATGGCATCTGAAGGTTTGTAGGTTTATGAAACACAGCTTGAGTGACATACCCATAAGGGACTGGGAGACCAGGCGTGTCTGCTTCAGATGGTTATTCAGGTGATTATTTCTGCTGCAGACTTGTACATGAGCTAAAAGAACTTTAGAAAATCTTTTCCCTAGACAACCTTTGCAGAAAGGGGCAATCATTATTTTCTTCCCTCAAAATCTGGACACAAGAAATAAGAATCACAGAATCATAGAATAGTTTGGGTTAGAAGGGACCTTCAAATATCATCTAATTGAACCCCCCTGCAATGGCCAGGGTCATCTTCATCTAGATCAGGTGGTGCAGAACCACTGATAGTTTCAGAGAGCAGGTGTTATAGTATTAATTATTGCTAGACTTCCTGGGGCTTTTTGTTGTGTGGTGAAAGTTTCTGGATTATTTTCGTTGTTGTTTAAATTGTGTGGTCATTTGACTCTTTTGTTCTTTGCTCTTTTTTTGTTGTTTTAGATATAGATGTACAGACATAACTGGTCCTTTGATCTGCTTATATGTTTATGGGGAGGAAAGAGCTGCTGTTGGTTTAAATATTGTAGTGGTACTTGATGATGAGGAACAGCTGGGTTCAGCTGGGCTGCATGGAAAGTGTCTGGGAATGTGAGCATCAAGGAAGACCATTTTGTATAGAAAACTGTTACAGCTTTCTCCCTAGACCCAAGCAACAGAGAAATCCTAAGGCATGTTTTCTGTTCTTTTTCACACCTGGTCATCCCATGGGTCTTCTATGTGTTTGTCTGCTGCTACATGCTCAGATTTTGAGCTTCCACAAGTAGCACCTATTTGACCAGAATGAGAATTCAGCATTAATTTTTTCTTTTAAAGTAATAACACTGCTGCTGTAAAGTAGTCTGCATGGTAATGATTTGTAAACTGTTTATACTTTCTAAATTAACAGTGATAATGAATTCAGGCTAGAATCTAAAGAAAATTATGTAGAGCAGAGAAAATTCCTGTCTTTCTGGAAGTCCCTGTGGTACACAGACTCAGATTAGAATGAATAAACTGACAAATAAAAAGCAATATCTAGGAAAAGAGGAGAAACATCTTTTTTTCCTCAGCAGTAAGACCCGCACCAAAATATAACATATCTATTCTTGGGTATTAGAAGTCTGCTGGGCAAAATGTTCAGCAAGAACTCAATATCTAAACTTGTCTCTGAACTCAGCTTCCAGCTTTTCTGATTCCTGAAGCCATGGAATGAATACAAACCAGCAGATAATCTTCTCGTATCTCTGTGAAGCTATTTTTATCTTTGCAAATATTCTTCATATTGGTGGTTCACCCCAGGCAGCCTGAAGAATGAGAGGTACTACTGACTGTACAGAAATGTGCTAATACTTCATTCTCTTTGTGGTCCAGAACACAGCATGGCAGAGTGGATTTATACCAGGTCACCATCATGCACCTCTGTGCAGTGCTACTCTGTTTATTGCACACATGTCCATTTTCTTTGTCAGTATACATTCACTCTTTTGGTAGTCTTTGGTTCTCACTTCCATACCCACTTCACTGCATGTTGGCTGCAGTCAGTAGGGATGAGTGGGTTGCAGATCCTGAAGAAGAGAACACAAGGGGTGAGATGCAAGGAACAAATGTGTTGACTGGAGGTGCTTGGAGCGAGCAGAAGCACCCTGAAGCTCCATACTGTGATTGGAGCAGGGGGAGGGTTCACGGGGGAGATGAGGACTGCAAGTTGTGAACTTGAAGTTGTATTCCCTTTGCCTTTCTTGTGTCCCCAGGGTGCGGTGATCTGCAGAAAGAAAAGGACTCTAAAAGTGCATGGCTTTTAGAGTTGGTATGTTTTATTCAGTGCTGGGCAGCATGGGGGATCTCTCCACTGCAGTCATGCTGCACCTTTCCTCTGCTGCTCAGTTTGCTTATATTACATATAATGATTACATAAACATGAGATTGCTTCACGCCTAATACATATGCAGAATCTGTGCCCAGCTAGTATTATAATTAACTTTCTGGCGTTTGTCACATTGAGGTGCTTGTGCAGTGCCTCCTGGTAGTGGTCTTTAGGGGGTCGTGAGGATGAAGGCCTGTAGTTCCTCTTCATCACCACGAGTAACCTCTTGCTTTCACGCAGACTCAATAGAGTTCCAGCTCTTATCCAAACTGAAAGTTTGGTACAAGCCGGTTTTATGTATCTTAAAGCAGGAACTTGTCAAGCTGGCAAATTTTATTACTCTGGGCTTTTTTTTCCCCTTCTATGGTTACTATTTAAACAAGAATGTCTTTTAAGTGTACATTACACAAGCTATGAATCTTATCTACTACACTTCTGCCTAGCAATTCTAGCAGCTTTAACTCCTACAATTCTGTTTAGCAATTCTAACTCAGCAGGAACTTCCTGGCTCCAGCTCAGGTCAACTAACTGGCCTGTGGCTGCTGCTTCACGCCTCCAAAGCCTCTCCCAGGCCTTGCCCAAGGCTCCCAGTTTCCAAAACAATTCCCGCCCGTGTGAAGTTCTTAAAATGATTTGAGAATTCCCAAATTCGGCTTCTTGCAGCTGTGCACACTGCAAGGGCGGGTGTCTGTGCGTTAACCAGTCTGTGACACACAGTGACAGTTCTCAGTATAACCCCTCGGTGTTGCTGCGGGAGGCGTGTGGCAGGTGCGGCCGTTGGTTTTACCCTTAGCACCCGGGGCTGCGTTAAGCCAAGCGGGAGGATCTCCTTTCCCGATGATGTTACAGGAGGTTTTAATGGGACGCGGTACGCTCTTCACCGCCGCATTAACGGCGCCAGTTAAACGTGGGGATCGAGGGTGCGTGTTAACGCCCCTCGGCGACAGCACAATGGACAGCGCCCGCCTGGCCCCGCCCCAGCGCGCCCGCCGCGGGACGAGCCCGGCGCGACCGCGAGGCGCTGAGGGGCGGGTGCGCGGCGCTGTCCGCCCGCCCTCGCGCTGAGGTAACGGGCTGCCCGTAACGGCGGAGAGAGGAGGTAGACGGGCGGGAGCCGCCTCCTTCTCTCCGCCCCTCCGCCACCGCCCGGCCTCACGGGTGCAGCCCGGCTGCGGGGCGAGGGAACCGCGCCGCTCCTCGGCCGGCAGCCCCCCCTCTCACCCTCGGGGCGCTATGAGCCATGAAGCCGCCCGGCAGCATCTCCCTGCGGCAGCCGCGCTGCGGCCGCCGCCTCCCCGCCGCCGCCGCCTGCCGCCCCACGCTCCTGCCGCTCCTCGGCCGCCTCGTCTCGCTGCTCCTGCTCCTCCATGGCTCGTCCTGCCCGCGGGCCCGCGCGGCTACAGCGGCCGCCGGTGGGTATGACGGGGGGTGTGCGTGCGTGAGGCGGCTGCTGCTCCTCGGCACCCGGCCTCCCTGCCTCCGCCGCGGGAGATAAACCCCGGTAGCATCCATTTCCCCTGAACGGTTTTTCCTCCGCCCCTTCCATATCTGTGTACGTGTCTGTTTCGTCTTGCTTGCCAACGAAAAGGAGAGAAATCTGAGGTTTTTCCCCTCTCATCTTCTAAAGCGAATGCTGTAGTGTTTTAGGTAGAGTGCTGGTGCGCAGAAATAACGCCGGTGAGGTATGCGGCAAAAAAAGGCTTAGGTGGTTTTTTTTTGTGTGTGTGTGTTAGGATGCATATGTACGAGGATCTGAATGGGAAACCAATTTGGGGTTGGATTTTTGCGTGTGCTTTTTGTTTATTTGCTTTTGATTATGTATAGATAATGTGTGTAATGCTGAATATAGTCGGTTTGTGCCTCTTGTTATTACTGTTCTTGTTACTTTGCTTGTTGATTGACTGTATCCTGAAATTTTAATGAGGAAGGATGCAGGGTTTAATCTGAAAAGCTGCCGCTGAAGAAAAGGGCTTTTGTAAAAGTTAAAAGGGAGAGGTGGAAAACTTGCTATTATGTAAAGGGACTTGATTACCCATTCGGTGTGCATGGACTCTGAATTCAGCTTGTTTTAAGAACATGGGAAATTAGTCTTTTGTAGGTGTACGCCTGGTTTTTGTGTGTATGTCTGAGAGATAAGTGAACTTGGCTATCAAAGAGGGTAACTACATGTCCATTAAGCGTTGAGTTTTCGTTGTTTTTTTTTTTGGAGGTTGAGAGGCATTAAACTATTTATAACCTATGAATGCATATGAAAATGTATGTGCATTTAAATAAATAATGTTATTTCTGAATCCATTTTGCATGTGAAGAAATGAATAAAATCTAGTTCAATGACTAAGCTTTTTGTTTGCTTGAATGACTAATAAAATATTAGAATATTGCAAGCTAAATATGTAGCTTTTTTTTTTTTTAAATATATTTTGCCATCTAATATATGGCTGGCATATCTTTCTTCCTCAGACCTGCATTGGAATGAAACAGCAGGCGGTACAGGGGGAGTACTGGCAGATGAAGAGAATACATTTCAACAGAATAAAAGCAGTAACAGTAAAAATAACAGCTACAGCAATGCAATCCAGAAAGAAATCACACTGCCTTCAAGACTAATCTATTATATCAACAGAGACTCTGAAACCCCTTACCATGTCCTGGATACTAGGGCAAGGCACCAGCAGAAGCATGACAAGGTAGGGTAAAAAAAAGGCGTATCTGCAGAATTTTCAAATTGTTAGTATCTGATGTGGAACTGAGTTTGAATGTTTTATTCCATAGATCTTTGAGACTTGCTGGTGGTCCTTACCGCCATTTGTAGAAAATCAAGGAGGACGTGTAATTAAACAAGACTCTAATTTCCCTTGTGTTAATTTAATTATTTTGAATTTCAGCATGGTTCAAAAACTCAACTGTAGGTAAAACGAATGGGAGTTATGCAAAGTTACTTGTCTGATCAGTGTAGTTCCAGTGTCTTGATTTATGGTATGCCATCATCAACAACATGCTTCTTCCAAAGTGGCTCTAGACTGCAGAAATGTCTGCATAGGGAGTTTCTTTAGAATCCTGAACTTGCAGCATGAATGTGTCTGTCATGCAGTACCTAATAAATGCAGTACTGGTTTCCTGCCAGTCTATGACCAGTGAAGACCACTGTAAAGTATTATGAGATTTTGTCAAATAATACTTGCCTTTTTCATTTTCAATGGCAAGATACAGTATTTCATTTTGTATAGATGCAGATAGTAATTTTTTTTTTCTGAAATTGCATGGGATTGAGCAAACTTGAATGTTGTGAAAAAACTTGGTGAAGAAGTAAACCTACTGTAAATCCTATTGCTTAGGAGGCATCCTTTAAAATGAGTCTGTCCCATTTTTATTTAAAAAACAAATTTCTTCCCATGAGTTAAAAAGGTGAAGTGAAGGTAAATATAGTATGTATAGGAAGAGATTGTCACAATATAGAAGAAAGGCAGTAAAGCAGATCAGTGTGTATGCTATTACACTTGGGCTTGGCTGTAATAGAGTTTCTACCTGTTGAATTGCATTTCTTTGGAAATTTTAGAAAGGGAATTTATTATGTGCTATATGTGCTTTTGTTGATATTGATTGTGTGCCATTTCAGCTATGGAGTTAATATGGAAGTATTACCTTTGTTGTAATATACTTTGAAAGTATAACCCTTTGTCGTGGTTTAAACCCTTGAAAAAAAGATGAGTTGTATATGAGTTTTGATATTTTAATGGTAAGAAAGGTTGCTTCCTAGCTTATTGAACTTGGATAACAATATGTGCCTTTGGAGTCATCCAAATACACTGATATGTTACGGCTGGCGCAGAAAAACTGTTCAGATTTTGGAAATTGGAGCTACTTATCAACATATTGCATTCAGAACTCATATTCTTTTAAAGTGAGACCTCTTTTTTTAAATGAACTTGAACAACAGGAACTTTCTGTTCCCCTCTTTGGAGAGAGGTGTGGGAAAAAAAAGAGATTTTGCAAATACTTGCGCACCTGCCTTTGGGAATAGTGCTTCCTTCATGTTTCTACATGAGTTTTTTTTTGCTTGGGAATTCACAGAGGAGAATGCCTGCCAATCTCTTCACTTACCCAGCTTTGCCCACAAAAACATTGCCGCTGTTACCTATCCTTCCTATGCCCTACCTGATCTCTGCCTGTTGGGGATAAAGCTCTGCAGAAATCAGTGCTGACAGAATTGGTATTGATTTCCTTGAGTATTCTTGCTGCTGAGTATTGTGTAAAGTGGATCTCCTTTCTACTCATTGTGTCCTGCTCACACTGCAGTTTTTCTCACAGAAGGGTTCCTTAAGCTTAGGGTTCCATGGAAAGTGACATCATGTTGACTTCATCCTTCTGGCATGGAACTTCTATTGCTTTGATCCACTTAATTGAAGGAAAGTGTTGATTCCTTTTCTGCTTTGATTTTTGCATGTTTTGCTTTCAGAGCACCCCAGAGTCCTTTGTTCCCCCTACACTCCCATCCCCAGCTTGCCTCTTGCGTCTTTCCTTGCATGAAGTCATTTATTTGCCCTTCCATCTGTTTTATAAATAATGTGGTAGGTAGCAAATATTTGGTTATTTTGTTTTGTTTAACATTACCTAGTCTCTGTAGAGCAATAATTGCTGGGGGCGAGGGGAGAATTCTGCCTAGAATGTAGAAGGGTTTTGATTTTGGGAAGGGAGAGGATTTTTAGTACTTGCTTTTATCCTTTCCCAGAACTTAAATAAATGCTATATTGTAATAAATAATACTTGCATGATTTTGCTCTCCCCACATTGGTAACTTTTTTACCTAACTTTTATAGTTAGGTAAAAAAACACCTATAGTTAGGTTAAAAAAAAAATAATCTATATTTAGGATTGAGTTTTAGCATATGAAAAAAAATAAACATGAGTACCTTATATCTGTACACAAGAAACAATTGAGGAAGAAAAATACTTCTTTTTTCTATTATTTTATTTTTTTTTTACTGGTCTTGGAACCATGCATCCTTTAACCTGTATTTTCTTGTCAGCCTTAATTATACCATTTATAGACATATGATGTAGATGTACTCCCAAACTGTGGATATTATTCAGTAAACCCCTTTCTGTGGAACTTCATTATAGTGACCAGAAGAATGTAATTCATACAGATTGTTTGGTGAATTAGGCCTGAATACCTCAGAAATGCTGAGTCACTATAAGGAGAGGGGAAGAGTAGAGGAAATTGTGTGCATGTAGGAAGAAAGAGGTAAACCTAGAGAAATACAATAATGTAAAATGACTTAAAATATTTGCTTTGTTTTTTCTAAATCCCTTCCTAAAAGTAGGGGTCTGCAGCTTTATTAATGAAATATATGTAGAAATGAAGGGATGGAGGAGAAAACAGTGTACCAGAGAACAAAGAAAATAAGTAATAAATTGGTTTCTTAGCACTGATCATCCTTATCCCCTTTGGATGTGATAAAATGCCATCATAATGAGAGGGTGTATGTGATTTAAACTCTCCATAGAACTTCTCTCATTCCTTTTTTATTATTTCAAGAAGCTTTTTCTCACTGTTGGAAAACTAAAGGTGTGCTAGTTTTGGCTAAATGGTCTATCTCCAAGGTGGACAGAGTTCTAGTTTGCAATCTGTTTTCTTTTTATGATCTAAAACCAAGCATAATTCAAATACTTGGTAGTTGAAGACTCAAAAAATCTGTGTACCTGTTTCCTCATAGTCGAATTAAGATTAGCTGGTTTTGAATTGTTAGGTTATTTTTGGTGTGAAATGCTCAAAAATGAACATCTGTTTATAAAAACAGTGATGAAACTTATAAGAACTTTTAAACATGCTGGAGAGGTCTGAGTCATAATGTG